AGTGCCAGTTAAATGACTGTTAAGGGGTCAAGTGCAGGACCAACAGTTGGCGTAATGGCTATGTCTCTGGACTCCCATGTAGTCGACCACAGTTTGAGTCCCAGACCTGATGGCTTAAACTCACGCTGGGTGCGTATGCATGTGTCCTCAAGATCCCGAGAGGAGATTGGAGAAGGGATTGCAGCATGGCCACCCCCACCCTGGGGGGTGATTTTGCGCTTTCCATCTCTCTGTCTCTCCTCTCTCTGTCCTTCTGGCAAGCATGCACTCTATAGCAGAAACCTCTCCAGAATGGGGGGGGGGCAAAACCTGAAATAAAACAAAGGGGGTCAAGTGCTCTTTTTGTAGTAGGGAATTAATTAGAAGTCACTCAGAAAGATTATGATAGTTGTGGAACCTAGAAAGTCCCATGTTCAGATCAAGAGAATTTAAAAACATGCAAACCACTGAAAGTAGAGATAGGTGATAGCTTTTTTCATATTATTAGAATTGAAATTGCATATTTGAAAAATTTTTCTTTCTTTATATTTCCAAACCACTTTTTCTTAAGATAGGAAGAGAATTATGAGAAGAGCCATATACTAGGAATAAGAGGACTTTCTTTGTCTCCAGTATTAATTAGCCAAGTAATACTGACAGTTTTCATCACCTCTGTAATGCTTCCTTTATCTAAAACGTGAAGGTTTTTTTCAGGTGATTTAAAAGTTCTACTTCTAGCTTTCTGTGTTTTAATCTTTTTTAAAAATGCACTTAATTCTAACCTATGTTTGCAAGATTTTAGAAAAATAAAGTATTGCATTTGTTTTCTTTTTTTCCCTCTTTTTTTAACATTTTAATTTTTATTGTCATGATCAATTTATTTTACTTTAATAACTTTATTTAGATTTTATCATTATATATCTCTATAGCACACAATATTATTTTTCAACATATGCATGTAATATACATGAAATTCAAATAAAGGGCCTTACTGATGTACATCATTTTCAAAAGAGAACATTAAAATTATTTTTATTCTTTGGGAAATGTGCTGATGTAAAGTCAGAGCGAGAATTACAACAGAAAAGGTATAAAAGTATGCCTATTTAAACATATTCCACAATGCCAAGTGTGCTTGTTCAGTTTCACCCCAGTGCACTGGTTGAATAGTATTTCATTCAGATACATTTGCTTGTCAGATCTTCAGAATAATCTTGTGAAATTGCTAGTGAGGAATTTTCATTCTGGAGATGGAGTAAGTAGAACTCAGATTAAGTCAGTCACAGTATATTATATTTGAAAAACCGTGACAGATCTGAGTTCAAGTTCAGGCATTGAAACTGTGTTCTCTTGGGGAAGTTATGTCACCCCTCCTAATCCTCTTCGGTAAATGAGGATAATAAAAATAATGCCTACAATGTAGGGCGTGATAGTTAGTGACTCCCTGTGTAAGCCACCCAGCACCGACTCATGGTGCATGGTGACCTAGGACCATGCCTTCACCCCAGATCATCTTGTGCAAATCACCACCTACCTTAGACTTTCAGTTTCAAGTAAAACTCCCTAACTAAAAGTAGCTTTAAAAGTAAGGCCATTTTTAAACTCAGAGAACAGAGGAGAATATAGATTCCATGCTTTTCCATGGCTGTTAATGGGACACTAGGTGAGTGTATGAGCTTTTGTATTGGGCTTTTTGAATCCCCGTGACTGCCCCTTCCTGGTCACAAGGTGTCTGCCATCACTCTATGTTGCTTTCTCCCAAGGCTGTACCCAAAGATGTGTGAAGAGGCCCATTTTCTCTAACATCCCCTGACTCCTGCCTCCGTTTTTGTTTAAATGAGAGAGGAGGAAGCCGAGACAGATGTGTTAATGCCAGGGACTCGCCGCATCATGGCTTTTCCTCTTTAGCCTCCCAGCTTTCCATGCTTACAGATGGACATCACTGACCCGGCCCAGGGAACCAGACCTGGGCCTCCCGCGTGACCTGGCTCGCACTCAGTGTCCTGTTGCATAGGTACTTGTAGGGAGGGGGCCTCTGGCATGCCTGTTTTTAAAACCAAGGAACATTTTCTCAGAAATTCCCCAGCCTGAAGCTGGCTGGTGGCATGGTGGTAGAGGTGCTAGACTCCCACATGGTTGACTGAGGTTTGAATCCTAACCGACTCATGGTGCATGGTGACCTAGGACCATGCCTTCACCCCAGATCATCTTGTGCAAATCACCACCTACCTTAGACTTTCAGTTTCAAGTAAAACTCCCTAACTAAAAGTAGCTTTAAAAGTAAGGCCATTTTTAAACTCAGAGAACAGAGGAGAATATAGATTCCATGCTTTTCCATGGCTGTTAATGGGACACTAGGTGAGTGTATGAGCTTTTGTATTGGGCTTTTTGAATCCCCGTGACTGCCCCTTCCTGGTCACAAGGTGTCTGCCATCACTCTATGTTGCTTTCTCCCAAGGCTGTACCCAAAGATGTGTGAAGAGGCCCATTTTCTCTAACATCCCCTGACTCCTGCCTCCGTTTTTGTTTAAATGAGAGAGGAGGAAGCCGAGACAGATGTGTTAATGCCAGGGACTCGCCGCATCATGGCTTTTCCTCTTTAGCCTCCCAGCTTTCCATGCTTACAGATGGACATCACTGACCCGGCCCAGGGAACCAGACCTGGGCCTCCCGCGTGACCTGGCTCGCACTCAGTGTCCTGTTGCATAGGTACTTGTAGGGAGGGGGCCTCTGGCATGCCTGTTTTTAAAACCAAGGAACATTTTCTCAGAAATTCCCCAGCCTGAAGCTGGCTGGTGGCATGGTGGTAGAGGTGCTAGACTCCCACATGGTTGACTGAGGTTTGAATCCTAGACCTGGTTGCTTGCTTTCTCACTCTTCCTCTCTGTATATTTTTCTGTCTCTGTTTGCCTCTCTGGTCACATCAAAGCATAATAATATTAAATAAAAAATCTGATAAATAATTCTTCAAAAATAAAAAAATAATACCCCAGACTTTCCTGATGCTTTTTTGGTTAGATTTGGATCACTTGTTCTAAGCACAGAGGAATGGGATTGACCATATGGCTCAGACAGTCAAGATCTGTCTCCTTGGCCGAGAGAGGGCACACTTCACAGAGTATAGGAGTACACAGAAGGTAGCAGCGGAACAGGGCCCGGCAGCTAAAGGAAAGTGGCTAGAGGGGGAGCACTCGGGGAGCCACATTACAGCTGTTGATGTGTCACTAGGCACCATGGAAACTAAAAATTGTGGAAAATTTGTATATTGCCAAGTATTATAGCATACAGACCACAGACAGTAAATTATTTCTGAAATTGCCATAGCTAAGAATTAGTAATGTGCTTACATTATGATAACTGTTGAGATTTTTTTCTGTTCTTACATATCTCTCGTGTAAAATGTGAAGTCCTTTTGTAACGAAGTCCACGGGACAAAGTTGATAGGTTTACATAATGAGATTTGTTTCTAAAGCTATTTTATGGGAAAAGGAAAAGAGATTTTTGTTTTTAATTACATTTTATTTCATATAAGGAAATTGGAATGATCTGATTTCAATTAAGAAAAATTTTTAATATTGGTAAATATTTTTAAACACTTATAATTTAAACTTGATGTAATAACCAAGAATTTCTTAAATTTCCTTATGAGAAAATGTGTTTACTCCTGTAGGGTTGTTAATATATTCTAGCATCATAGTAGCACTAAGGAGGAATTCTTATTAATAACCATTTCATTCTTTTTTAAATTCGACAGTTACTTGAGAGACCAAAGTTTACACAATAGGTACATTACTTTGTACAGTGTGAATGCATACACATGTGTGGAATCTTACAGAGAATTCATGTGTGAACTGAGGTGGTCTGATGGATCTTGCCAAAGGACAGAAGCCCATCAAAATAGTGCAACCCAGTAAAGTCAGTGGATCATTAAAGAGGCCACATAGCACCACGCTTGTGACCCTGCGGCCTGGCGTGTGTCCTGGGGTAGTTAGTGTCCAACAGAGTCCACCAGAAATGCAGTTAAGAAACCATGCTGGGACCAGCTGACGATGTAATGGTTATGTTGCTGGAGGACTGTAGCCTGTGTCCTGGACCTGCTGGCTTCAGATTCATACCAGGTGCATGCATCCCCCAAATCCTGAGAAGGGGATGGAGGAGAGGAGATTGTGTTGTGGCCATGCCCCTGGGGAGTGATTTCTCACTTTCTGTGTGTCTCTCTCTCCCCGTGCTGAGCACATGCACCCTCTAACTAAAAGCTCTATAAAAAGAAAAAGAAAAAGAAAAGAAACTGAGCTGCAATGATGTAGTGACTTCGGAACTGCTGGAAACTTTGCGGTTGTATCTTTTCCTCAGTGTCTGTTTATGACTATTCTGTACCGGCACACCTACCGCTGTGTGTATTAAGATAACAAAGGCACATGTAGTGTGTTTAATAGAATATATGAGAAAGTGCCCGGTAATTTGACTATTAGAAATGCTAGCCTTACTGGCTAACTTCTGAACCCAGGCCCTGAATAAGACGAAAGGCCACTGAATACATGTCTATTTCAAGGTTATTTCTACTAAAAGTGACCATGACAGAGAGAGGCAAAGAGATGCACTACTCCTAACAGGCGGTGGACACTGCTGTCCCGCCCCGGCTTCGGTCAGCCATGGCACACATGTGCTGCACACTCAGGGACTTCTCTGGATGTGAACCTGCAAGTCCTGTGGAGGGTTGGTTTTACCACTACACCACTGTCCAGCCCTGGAATACGTCTTTTTTCCCTCCTATAGGGCATGTGCTCACTTACAGGAGATAAGACAGAGAGAGAGAGAAGAAAACGGAGCCATGGAGCCTCCATGCCACCTGCTGGCCCACCCCTGTGTCCATCTTGATGTTAGCGGTAGACACACTTTATTCATGGAGGTAGCCAGAATTACTTCACAGTGCATGAGATTTTTGCTAAGAAGCCCTTGATTATCTCATTTTTGTGAGTCTGCAGAATTAAACCAATGTAAAATTTTGTGGTTTTGTTCAGGCAACTCGGTGTAACTGCCACCAAAACTCTAAGGAGGAAAACTGCACATATGCTGATAAATACACCCAAACACCCTGGAGACGGACTCCCGTAAGTAATGTGCTTTTTTACCCTCTCCTCCTGTCACTGGCTGGTTAGATGTTCTGTTCTACTCTTTACTCTAATCTCGTATCATTTTGAATTTGCCATGGCTATTAGTGTTGTCATGGGTAACTTGTTTTCATGGTGCCCGTGAAGCATTTATGTGCTTTCTAAAGTGTCTCTCTTGTGTCTGTTTCAGTGAACGTGCACTCGATGGCTTTTCCATGCTGCACACTGCGTAGCTTGTTTTATTGGGGTGCCTGCTCTCTTCTCATTGCATGTTTTTGTCAGAATAGCATTTCCACATGCCCTGAAAGAACAGGAATCCGATACGTAGTTGTTCCATTTTAGCAGCATATGACACCTTAAAAATATATGATGTAGCGTATTCATTTTCTTTTGAGACTTTTCAGATATCTTTCTATAAATAGATGTTGAGGGTATCGGAAATACTAATGCATAAAGATATAGATAGTAAAGCTTATGTTTTAGGCAGAGTTAGTATAAGGTTTCTTTAAACAGTAAAAAGTAAATGTGCATTGTGTGCTTTTTTTTTTTTCCCCAAAAAATATGTTATATCTTAGGGCCAGCAGGTGGCATAGTTATTAAGGTGCTGGACTCCCACGTGGGTGACCATGGTTTGAGCCCAGGACCTAGTTGGCTTGTTTTCTCATTTTCCCTTTCTCTCTCTCTCTCTGTCTCCTTCTTGTGGAATTTAAAGTAATAATAATAATAATAACAATAACAAATAAAATAAGTAATTCTTTTAAAAAAAAGTTACATCCCCAAAATATTTACTGCTAAAAATATCTTTTCTGGGCCAGCCAGTGGTGCAGTTGAGGTGGCTGAACCCCACGTGGCCAGCTGTGCAGTTTGAGTCTCCAACCTGGCAACTTTAAAAACATGCCAGGCACATGTGATTACATGCCTAAAATCCTGAGGCAAATCAAGGAGAAGGGTTTACAGAGTGGCCATCCTCCTTCAGATTTTTTTCTCACTTTCCCTCTCTTTCTGTCTGTCTGTCTCTGGTGATCACACGTTCCCTATAGGAAAATGATAAATAATAATGCAGCCTGATATGTATGTATCTGTGCCCTAAATAGTGGAAGGAAAGTGGAAGAGAAGGGATTGTGCAGTGACCATCTCCCACAGGGAATGCTTTCTCACTTTCTCTTTCTTTCCCTCTCTCTCTCTAGTGAATGCACACACCCTCTAGCTAATTAAAAATGTAAATAAATAAAAAAATAACCAAACCTATTTGTCATTTAATCTGAGTTTGTCAGAACTGAGTTCAGGATGTAACTGAGCCAGAGAATGATCAAATGGCCATCAGTCATCATTATCCTATTATTCAGGCCAGTCTGTTTTTTAATGGTCTGTTAGTAGAATTAGTACTGGCTGGCCCCAAACAGTAGGATGTGCTCGTTAAGACAATGCCCAGCGAGCCACCGTGACTCTTCTTTTGCCTTCTACTTAGTGATGGACCCTTAGGAGCAGAAACAAACAGAGTAGAAGGGTTAAGGTAATCAGCACTCTAATTTATTAATTTAGCTACAGGTCTTTGATGTTTATAAAATAGAAATTTTGTTTTTCGTCTAGCAAATAATTACTTTTTGTGTGCCCTGTACAGTGCTGAAAACTAATTCAACAAGTCTGGTGATCTTCTTCTTCTTCTTTTTTTTTTTTTTTTTTAATAATTACTTGTTTTTTTTTATTTATTCACTCATTTATTTTAATTTGACCAGAGAGAGACACAGAGGAGGAAAGAGAGAGAAGGAAAGTGAGAAAGAAGCCACCAGGTCTGGGACTCAAACCGTGGTCAGCCATGTGGGAGTGTCCAGCACCTTAACCACCATGTCACCTGCTGGTCCCAGTCTGGTGATCTTCTCATCTGATATAGTAGGCTCTTAAAGTAGAAGTAGGGAATCGAGATGAAAATACACAGATGAATAAGGATTCCTCTGTTCTTAAGTGCTTATTGAGGGAACAGACAGTGCACTCAGCTAAAGTGCTCCAAGTTCTATAAATTCAAAAGATTGTGAAAGTCTAGTTGAAACAGTGGTGAAGGTGACTGTGTGTTTGAATAATAAAAAGCAGGACTTGCCAGTAGACAGGGATGGTGGTGTATTTCTTCAGTGTTAAAGGTTGTAGAAACTTAACTCTTTGGATGTAATGGCAAAATAAATGACATGCTTCGTGATTCGAGATGGATTTATAGGTTTTCCAGGTTCTTCCAGCTTCCCCACAGGGATGTATGTGCTTTCTGACTGTAAAGCCAAGTAGATGGGTGACTTCATTATGCATTGAAGGTTTCATTTTGCCATTCTCATGGAAGTGTTCACTACACTGTGGCTCCCTCAGCCTCGCTGTTCTGGAAACTGGATATTACTCTGCCTCCTCACCAGAGAGAAGTAGCTGGTGACAATCAACCTGAATATATTGTGGAATATATTCTTGATTATATTTTATTGTAACTTGGGTGGAAAGGTGACATTTTTAAAAATTATTTATTTAACTTTATTTATTCATTCATTTTTATTTTGACCAGAGAGACACACACAGACAGAGAGAGAGAGCGAGAGAAGGTGAGAAAGCAAGCCACCAGGTCCAGGATTTGAACCGTGGTCAGCCATGTGGGAGCATCCAGCACCTTAACCACCACGCCACCCGCTGGTCCCAAGGAAAAGTGAAATTTTTAGCCTTGCACTCCTGAAAGACTATGTGTGTATGAATATGCATATGCATATCCTGCCTGGCTAAATACCTTTATTTTGTAGATAAGGTAGCAGCAGGGAGGTTAAATGGCATTTTAGTTTCAATAATTAATAAGTGACTGAGGTGGTGCTATCTATCATTTAGGACTCCTGACTACTGCTGCAAGATTCTCTCCTTCAAAAGCAAACAGAGGAATCTTGGAGCATAGTTTTCCAGATTAAAATTACGGAGCATTCTCTCTCTGTTACTGGGACCTGGATGTAGGCGTAGGCGCAGAAGAATAAGCAGAGCCAGCATGCCAGTGGCCAAGAGCTGGGCTTGTCACAAAGTCTGTGATAACACAGAGACCCTTAAAGAACTCTCCCCTTGATTAAGAGCTGAAACTGATCAACACGTGCGCGTTCCAGAGCAAAAATAAGGTCTGGGGAGTTAAATTAAGATCCGCAAGGCTTCCCAGGACCTCTGACATTGGGTGAGAGGGACCTGTGGTGTCTGCAGGCAGTACCCCACTGCAGCACCTCATGCACTTCAGTGCTGGGTGAGAGCATGGGATCCTGGGTGATCCTGGGCAAGACCTCTTGGAGAGAAAGTTAGGCAGAATTCTGTAGTAAAGTCATCCAGATGTAGAGATTTCTTTTATAGGAGTTTTTAAAATATAAATTTAAGTTTTAAAAATATATGTGAACATAGGCAAATGATCTATTTCATCTTGGATTAGTTTGATAGTTTGTGGTTTTGAGGAATTGGTTCTTTCCTCAGTTGTCAAATTTATGGCTGTGATGTTTCATAGTATTCCCTGGTTACCTTTATGGCTGGAGGACCTGTGGTGAAGAAGATTCTGCCCCAACAATATGCAGGGTACAAGAAATTCTGTTTGTCTCATTCCTGATTTTGGTATTTTATGTCTTCTCTCTTTTTGTAGTCTTGTTAATGGTTCATCAGTTTTATAGATCTTTTCCAAGAACCAACATTTTCAATCCTTATTTTCATCTATGTTTAATTTTAATGATTTCTACTATATTTTCTTTCTCCTACTTTGGATTTTTGTCTTTTTTTCCCCCTTAATTTTTTTAAGCGTCAAAATAACTTATTGATTTGAGTTTTTTTTTTTTTTTCTTTTTACTGCTTTAGCTATGCCCTACAACTTTTGATTTTATGTGAAATTGTTGATTTGAGTTTTTGGTTTTTTTTTTTTTTTTTTTTTTTTTTTTAAATCTTGAGACTTTTGTTTTGACTCATGAATTATTTAGCAATATGGTTTTTAGTATCCTAATGTTTAGAAATATTCCCATCATCTCTGTGTTACTGATTTCTAATTTGATTCTACTATGGTCAGAGGAGACATTCTGTATATTTTCTTTTAAATTTGTTGTGGTTTGGTTTATGGCCATGACTATAGTCTCTCTTAGTAAATATCCTATGGATACTTGAAAAGAGTATGTATTTTGTTATTATCGGGTGGAATATTTTACATATGTTGATTAGATCCTGGTCATCGATGGTATCCGAGTTCTTTATCATTGCTGATTTTTATGAAGTGTTGAGAGAGGAGTGCTGAACTCTGCAACTGTAGTTGTGAACTTGGCTGTTCTCCTCCGACCTGTCAGCTTTTGCTTTATGTACTGTACACTTCTGAAGTTTGAATAAACACGCTTAGGATTACTATGTTTTCTTGGTAGAGTACCATTTTGTCCTTCTATAAGGTCCCTCTCTCTACCTGACATTTATCATTCATTTATTTATGTATTTATTTTAAGAGGCTTTTGCCATAGGACACATATAGGGAGAGACAGATAGTGAGAGGAAAAGTAAGAAATCACCCCCCCCCCCCCAGGGAGGATAGTCACACTACGATCCCTTCCCCATTCTCCTCCTGCGATCTTGGGCCCGCATGCACACATGCCGGGCACGATTTTCAAGCCTCTGGGTCTGGGACTCAAACTGCAGTTGACCATGTGGGAATCCAGCGTCATAACCACTATGCCATCTGCTGACCCTTGGCATATAGTTTTTAATTAAGTTTTTTTTTTCTTTCATTTTTTTCTCCCTACCTTCTCTGATATTAATATAGCCATTCTTATTTTCTTTTAATTTTTGCATACTCTGTTCTCTTCATTTATTCTTTTAAATGGTCATATTATTATGTGTAAAATGAATTTCTTGTAACCTGCATATTGTTGTGTCAGAATCTTCTTCAACAGGCAGTTCTTTAATTGGTGCATTTCAGTCCCTTATATTTACTTCAGTTACTGACACAGTAGAACTTAAGGCTGCCACTTTATTTTTGTTGTCTC